GTTGCTCATTCTCCTTTGCAATCTCTTGTGTGCATGTATCTACAATCACTTTCTCAACACAAGCTTGGTTGCACAAAGGTGAGTCTAAACATAAATCATTGCAAGAAGTAGAGGCATCCTTTTTAATTATTTTATTTCTTTTAGATGCCTTGGTGGAGGTTAAATTGAAGGCCTCAAGATTAGCAACTTTATTAGTTAGCTCATCATAATGTTTGCACACGATTTTCATTTTAGCAAGCAAACTTTGATAGTCATTTTGTGAGATAGCTAATTTTTCTTTTAATTTTCCATTTTTCTTTGCAAGTTGCTTATCATTAATTATGCATTCATTTGTTGTTGCACTAGCCTCAAGTTGCTCAATTTTATTGGATAGTTCAACATTGAGATTTGCAAAGTTTTCATATTGTTGAAGCAAATTCTTGTATGCTTCTTGTGAACTACCTAGCTCTTTTTTAAAATTTTTGAGCTTCTTTTGTTGACTAGTGCAAACTTTAGCATATTTAAGATTTTGTTGCACAATTGCATCATAAGAAGGCATATCATCATCACTATCACTCTCACTAGAGGATGAGCTTTCGTTACCTCGTGCCATAAGGCACACACGTGAAGAGTTTGATGATGAGTGCTTGCGGCCTCGCCTCTTGTGATGGTGTTCTTCTTCACTTGAAGAATCATCCGACGATCTTATTGAGGTGAGGGCTTGGTTCTTGCATGCCATCTTCTTTGTCTTGGGTGTGGGCTTGTTTGGACAAACTTCCACAAAGTGCCCTAACTCGCCGCATCCATAACATCCTCTCTTTCTTTGCTCGTTTCTTTGATTTGTGAAAATGAAATCTTGAATTTGGATGGGCACACCCTTAACATTTAGCCTTTGGATCATCTTCTCCACCTTGTTGATAAGTTTGATTGATTCTTCATCAAGGTCGGAGGTGGAGAAGGAAGATTGATCATCATCACTTGAATCTTCATCTTCACTTGAGGAGCTTGAGCTTGAGCTTGACTCAACTTTCTTCCCCTTCATCTTCTTTTTCTCGCTACATGCGAGAGCTTTTCCTTTGCTTGATGAAGAAGCTTCTTCTTGACCCATCTTACGTGACATTTCAAATGCCACTAACTTGCCAATGACTATGCCCGGGGTCATATTGCTCAAGTCCTCCATGTTGTAAAGGATGGTGATGATGCTTGCATATTTCTTTTGTGGAAGCACGGAGATGATCTTCCTCACGATGTCCGTATCATCTAGCTTTAATAATCCTATTGAATGGAGCTCATTGATAATTAGATTCAAACGATAATACATATCACGAACAAGCTCATCATCATTCATTTTAAAGGAATCATAATTTTGTTTAGCTAGACAATGTTTTTGCTCACGGACATTACTTGTGCCGTCATGGAGCTCTTGTAGTTTTAACCAAATTTCATGTGTCGTATTTAAAGTGAACACTTGGTTAAACACATCCATGCTAAATGATTCAAACAAGCAATTTTTAGCTCTAGCATTGAAATGCATTTCTTTTTCATCACTCTTTGTGGGTTTTTCGGGATTCTTGATGGGTTTCATCCCGTCACGAGTGACTCTCCAAACACCCAAATCAACCGCCTCAAGATGGCAAGCCATTCTAGCCTTATAATAGAGGAAGTTAGTGCCATCAAATTGTGGAGGCCTAGCGGTATCCATCCCAACCACTCTAAGCAGCGTCGGCTCAACGGCGGTTAAGCCAAAGGTCCAAATATGAGCCAACCGGCTCTGATACCAATTAAAGGACACGTGGACGCCTGAGAGGGGGGGTGAATTAGGCAACTTAAAAATCTAACTCTAGACTATGGCCTCTTTTTCTACTTCTAGCAAAACCTATGCAAAAGATAATCTATCTAGATGTGCAACTACGGTTTTGCTAGTGTGTTGCTATCTCTACCACAGATGATAATAATATGATCAATGTAAATGCGGAAGCTTAAAGAGCAAGGTAGAGATATGCAAACTCCCATCGACGACTCCGGTATTTTTACCGAGGTATCGAGAAGCGCGCAAGCTTCTCCCTAGTCCTCGTTGGAGCCCATCGTAAGGAATCCCTCGCAAGGGCCAAGCTCCCGGTCGGGTAACTCCGTGGATAGCCTCGGGCCTTCCCCCACGCGCAAGTGGGTCTCCGACGTGCCTTCCGGCAAGCCTCTCCCGGATGCTCCCCGCCGTCTTCACTATCAAGCTTTCAGCCAAAACGCCGCGGGCCTTGTTCCCTTCGGTACACGGTGACGGCTGCACCACAAACGCGGTTGGTGCGATCTCGCAAGACTTCAAGCCCCTCCGATGTACAACTCTTGTGCTCGCAAGCACGGGGTGGTAAGAGGTATGCAAACCTCACTAAACACTAGGCATACACCTAGAGCAAGCGCATAAGCGGTGGTCTAATCAACCTAAGCACTTCACAAAGCACCTACGCTAATCACCTGATGAAAACCTAAGCACTATGCAAATGAAGATCACTAAAATGGTGTATCAACACCCTAGATATGTTTCCTCAGCTCCACTCATCTCAAATGGTCGGTTGGGGGTTGTATTTATAAGCCCCACTGAGAAAGTAGCCGTTGGGGTCGAACTCCCGCAAAACTGCTACTGACCGGATGCTGAATCGTCCTGACCGGACGCGTCCGGTCGTCCCGACCGTTGAGCCGGCATAACACTGATCGGACGCTGTCCAGCGTCCGGTCGCCTGCCACCGGACGCGTCCGGTCACAGATATGTCGCTCTGGAACCTTACTGTACTCGATCGGACGTTGCGTTCCTGCGTCCGGTCGGTTGCCACCAGCATCCGGTCCTCGTGTCCGGTCGCCTGTCTGCCGAGTGCCCACCTAGCATCCGGTCACAGCATTCGGTCGCTTGTCCAGCGTCCGGTCCAACGTCCGGTCACCACAGTGAGCTTGTTTCTTCGCGATCTCGCATACGGCTTGGTTTCAATCTTCATGCTTGGACTTTACTTGATCTCTTAGGTCTTCTCTTGTGCTGCTAAGGTCTTGCTTTAAGGTGTTGAACATCGGATCATCACGTCGCCTTCGTCCAAGTCACGTCTTACACCCTATTAAACTATAAAACAAACACTTGCAAATTCATTGGTCCAATTTGATTGTGTTGGTCATCAAACACCAAAATCCATCGTAAATGGGCCAAGGGTCCATTTTCCTTACACCCCCTCCTAAGCAGAGTCGGCCATCGTTAATCCACTACAAGCATCCTAGCCAGCACATGTGTGCCACACATATTTTTGGTTTTCTAATCTCATGTAGGGATAGGCGTATAATTAATTAGTTTTAATTTATAACCATTTAACTAGAACTAATCCTAGCTCGGCTTGGTGTGGATGTATGTCCAGACCACTTCAACATGAATTTAGATGCCTGCTTCCACTTTATTAACTAATAAACATCCTACCTGGCCCTCCTCCTCTTGCATATCATTTATTTCTATCTTAATGTACCCCCCCCCCAAAAAAAAGATCTTTGAAAGAACTGATTATGACAGTCTATAAGTAAGCCCTTGTTTAGTTCCAAAAACTTTTCCTAAAAAAATACTACAGTACCCATTATATCGAATCTTGCGATACGTGCATGGAGCACATCGAATCTTGCGATACGTGCATGGAGCATTAACTATAGACGAAAAAAAACTAATTGTACAGTTTGATTGGAAATTACGAGACAAACGTTTTAAGCCTAACTAGTCCATGATTGAACACTAATTGCTAAATAAAAACAAAAATACTACGGTAGCTAAATTTCTAAATTTCAGCGAACTAAACACGCGCTAAGACTGTGAAGGCCCAGTAGTGGGGTGGTTGCTGAATTGGGAATGCTGATAAGAGGGTGCATCCAGAGAAGCATCAATGATGGTCTGTCGCGGTTGCCGCTGCGAGTACGTACGGCCGGTGTTGACTGATGAGGGGCTCTCGCTCTCGCTTACCGGCCGGCCGCGTGCAGACTGCAGAGGCACACTTTGAATCATTTGGTCCGGCAAATGGCGTGTGCGTCGACCTGACCATGCGCCGTAGAACCCCCCTGTACTTTGGTCCTGCTTACTGGATGTACATGCAAGCATATGCATCCTGTTTTGACCACTTATAAGTCATACTTTTTCGGCCAATGAATACTATTTTTTTCTCACATCAAATCACCAATAATCTTTTAATTATTTAACTTATCGTACCAAACAAGCCTAAACGAACAGGGCGATGGACTTCATTGCGCAGCACGGCAGCAGCATAAGTGGTCACACCGTTTACCATACTGGGCCAAATTCCATCTGGTCCTCGAAACAATTTCGAGATGTTTAAAAAGGAATCGAGGCCTGATTTCGAAGGAATTTCGTGGCGTTGGAACTGCCATCTTTTCATCATATATGGAAAAGTGCAACTGTTGTTGTTTAGCTCTTGTTTTCACGGGCTGAAAAAGAATCCGACTTTTTTTCACCCTTTGCGTAGGGCGTAGGCCCTTCAATTCTCCATGACTCTGCGTGTTTGTTCCTATTCATTTGTTGCCTTTTGATGATTTCAACTTTGATGGGTGGTGAAGCTGTTAAAGCGAAGGAAGGAATTGTAGAGTTCAACTTTAACAACTTTGTTCGTAGCTGGAAATTACTCGCGAGGAGCACTATTAGCAGCCCGCATGCATCTTGTCAGCCTAGGCTTTGCGTAGGCCGGTTTTAGGCCCAAAAGGCTCTCTGACTTGACAACCCACTTTCGGCTTTTGTCACCGTGAGATAACGAGATAACTAGGCCCTAGTGTCCTAGGCCCAATGTGGGAGTAGTAAAATACTATGATTCGATTCGAGTAATTTCGGCCCGTCCAATCCGTCCGAGCAGCAGCAACAACAACAGCTCGATCTGATCGACCGAGCGATCCTGACGTGTTGGACTCCGTAAAACGGACGTGGATGCACGTACGCGATCGCTTCCAAAATCCAAACGAACTGCCGGCGCCGTGGACGATCGACCAAATCGATCGTCGCCATGGGAAGCAGCAGCCACGAGCGCGGCTCGGCCAGCTGGTCGGAGCTACCGGCCGACGTCCTGGTCACGGTCCTCGAGGGGCTCGCGATCCGTGACCTGTGCCGCTGGTGGAACGCCGCGTCGTCGTGCGTCCGGGCCCAGCACAGCGCGCTGTCGCGCCCCGGCACGCCCTGCCTGCTCTACATGGCGGCGGCGGCGTCGCCGTCCGACCCGCCGGCGGCTGCCGCCTCCTCGACGCTCTTCAGCGTCACGGACGGCAGGCCCTACTCCGTGCCGCTCGCCGCCGGCGCCTCCATCCGCGAGGGCTTCTGGCTGGGCGCCTCGCACGGCTGGCTCGTCACGGTGGACGACCACGCGGAGCCTCACCTCATGAACCCGGTCACCGGGCAGCGGATCGACACCCTCCCCTCGGTGGCCACCGTGGAGCAGGTGCGGCGCGTGCACGACGAGGGCGGCGCCGTCGTCGCCGACATGTACACGGTGTACCAGTACGACTCGTCGCTGTGGGTGTACGATCCCGCCAACGCGGCCACCACGCTGGACGCGCGTGAGCTCATCGACTACCTCTACGTCCGGGCGATCATCTCGTCGGACCCATCGGACGGCGACTGCGTCGTCGTGCTCGTGTACTGGCCAGATTACCAGCTGTGCTTCGCGAGGCCGGGAGACGCGCACTGGACATGGATACGGCCTCCGACGGAGAACACCCAGTACTGCGACTGCGCCTTCGACGGCGACGGCAGGACGTTCTACGCGATGCGCCACGACGGCGCGATCCACGCGTTCGACCTCCTCGGCCGGCCGGCGCTCGAGAGGGAGGTCGTGCTCCGTTCTCAGGTCCAGGGCGGGAGGACAGCGACCAACTACCTCGTCCACGCGCCATGGCTACGCGGTGGCGCCGGCGGCTGGCTTCAGGTGTGGAGGAGGATGGGGGCCACGGAGCATGTGACGCCTGCAGCTGCGGTGGCACAAGAATCTGCGTGGCGGACAGAATCGATCACGGTTTATCAGGTGGATCTCGCCGCGCAGACGCTGGTTGAGATCCAGAACCTGGGCGATCACGCCTTGTTCGTGGGGTGCAACTACTCCTTCGCGCTCGCTGCAACGGACTGTCCAGGCATACTGCCCAACCACGTCTACTACACGGACAATGAGGAGCATTATGCGCTCTACTCGCCACAGTGCCCAAGGGACATTGGTATCTACAATGTGGGTGATGGCAGCTTTCGTCAAGTCCAACCTCCTTGCCCATGGTTGAATTGGCCCCTTACCACCTGGATTATGCCAAGCACATCCCTTCTACTATCTATATAACTAGTGGAAATGCACGCACGTGTCGGTATAAAAGTGTTTGTAAGGATGAAATGTCATCCTATGTAATTGACATGTAAATCTTAGTAATTCCAGAGCAAAAAATGGAGCAGAAATAACAGTACATTTTACCATAGATCTGGCACCAGTTCTAAAGCACAAGATACATGTGTTGTTTACATAGGAAGTATCTTTTTGTTGTAACTTATTGTGGCAGTTTTGTTAAAAAAAGTCACCACAACATCAATCATTAATATTTGCACATTATTTGTGCTCCTCGGCCATGCAATAAATATCATGCAGTCAATGTTGTGGTAACAACTTATATTAATACAATAGAGCACTACATCCCATGAAAGCTAAAGTTAATCTTAGTGTTTATTTATGCAGCCTAAGGAAATAGTGTACTGGAAACTTATAGTTGCCTTGAGTTTATAAAATATTAATGAATATTATCAAGTCTATATTGCATCTTCCAGATTTGCAACATAAATATATAGCTGGGCAAACTATCTCTTCATTTTTTCACTAATTTAATACATAGATATCCATGTTATGACAGAAAAAAGAGGCAATGCATGCATAAAAAAATTGATAGAAAAACACGGCACAACTTGGAGAGAGTCTGTGTGATATTCGTGGGCATTGAGAGCTTAGCATATTCATTAAGCTGCAATAATAAGGGGAATAGCCCATCATGGCTAAGCACCGGATCACCACACTTTTGGGAGTCACCTACCTAAAGTCTATACTCTATACAGCCTGCAAAACTAACAAAAACGAAAAGAAGATCCCAAGCATCCTGTACAAGTCTCATATAGAAGACAATAACTCGTGTATCTGCAACTCAAACATGGATAACATTTTTCAGTTATGCCATGCATATAGCTATCAGCTTAAAGAGTGAAGAAAGCATAGATGGTTATGTAGTGTCAAGGGCGTTAAACCCCCGGGTAGCCGGCCCTCGGCTACGGAGTTCGTAGCCTTGGTCCGTTGTCTTCTCCGGTGAGGTTACCCTAGCCGCAGGCTTAAGTCAGTAGAGAGATAGCAGATTGGATTGATAATTCTTTCTTGGTTTTCCATAGCCTAATACAGACTATATATATATATGGCCTAAGGCCCAACCTGACGTGAGCCACAACTCCTATAATTTAGGGAAATAAAACATAAAAGGAAACTAATTAAAAGCTATCTCCTATTTCCATGCTTAGCCACTAGGCGTGGCCCTAGCCTGGGCGTCTAGCACGCCCGCACGCCCATCCAGCGCGCGCTCGGCGCATTCGGCGTCGCGGCGTGCATCCCTGGCCCGTCGGCTCCGGCGGTACGTGCGGCCGACCATGACATGTAGAACACACGTAAAGTGACCAAATAGACAACTCACCTCTGTCGAAGTTTTGTCAATTTTCCTAGCTCGTCAAGTATTGTGCTGTTTAAATTATTGAGACCAATGCCCTGAAAGAATTAATTAAATAAACTAAGTTAGATCGAAAGAAATGTTCAAATTAAATAGAAGTGATGTTAAGTACTTCTTGACAATGGAAAATTCGAAATGCTGGTACATGCTTGATTGGGACAATGCACATTCTTTTTCTCCAGATTTCACTTCCACAATATTATATTATTTTTTAGAAAACCATATTATAAGATTATACTCAATATATGGCTAGTATATTCAAAACTTCAAGCCTTTGGCATAGAGCCTCGTGACATTCATGCAATTGAAAAGCAAGTATAACTGGGGTAACATATGCATGACAGTAACTGAACATTAATATTAGTTAGAGAATATTGACTTTGAACACTACCTAGGATAACAAAATGACTGGAGGATCTTATAGTGATAAGAGATTGGTAAGATTTTCAAGTTCCTTTGGACAGGTCAGATAGTGCATTGATGCCCACAGTCCTTGTGATTTTCAAGGGAAAGAATGTAAGATTGCTTGAACGCAGGAACTGCAGCACAATTTTGAGTTTAGAATATTACATTGATTCCAGAGCAACGGGTTAACACACTTTAAAAAACAGTTGTCAAATGAAAGTCATCTTGATGACTGAATTGTATTTTGATGACTGAATTGTATTTTGTTCTATGCATTCAAATATTTCTAGGCACAATTCGACAAACTCTTGAACATGTCGTCAATCTAATCTAACAATCATAATTTGTGCAAAACTAAATTGATGATCAATAATAGTGGAGCTATATCAAGAAACTCATATGTAAGCCCAAACAACCATATAAAACATAGCTACCCCAATGGTAAATTCTTCAAGAGGGAACGCTGATATCTGTTCTTGTAAGTTGTAAGTGACCCACCCACCCAAAACTACACACCGTCAGGAGAAACATACTTTAATAAAAGGAGGAAATAATGCTTTATGCTTATTACAATACCGCACAAAGTAAACCAAATCGAGACATGTCAGTTTCATTACATTTTTCGAGTCACCATCAGTTGAGCCACATTCTGTTTTAGTGGGTCAACACTCAATATAGAATACAAAAAAGGGAATTCATAGGTGCCAACATTTTAAAATCTAGAATAGCATGATTTTTTTCAAAGTCATCGTGTAGCGTTAAACATATCGCAATCTTTAGGATTCAAAAAATTGCAAACACTTACATTTAAAGATCTGAGCTTCCATTGCATCTGTTGGTACAAGCACTGAAAAAAGAAATAATTTCACCCTTAGACACCGAGTAAAAGTAACATAAAGAAGCTAGTAAACAGGTTTGATTTTTAAAGACTAATGTAAGATTTAGCATACTACAGCAACCATACGAACTGAGCAAGCAACTAAAGGGTTAGGGGAAAATGAGAAGAAAGAAAAGAGTAACAGACAAACTAACAAAAAACACCGAAACAATTTTAATAGAGTTCCGAGGTACCTCCATCCTGCGAGCGACAACATCGGGGCCGGGGTGGGGCATCGCCATTGCTGCCGAAACTATCAATAATTAATTATTGTTTCCAGTGCAAATTACATATATGAAACTCTATGCATTTTTTCAGTGAAAACTACAGCGGCCATCACATTTGGAGAACTGAATCACTTTGGAGAACTGAATCACCAATGATGATAAGCATAACAGGTTGAAATGCTTGGTTGAAGACAAAACTGGTAGTTGAAAACTAATATGCTGTACTGAATGCGCATGCATTCTAGAGACATGTGCTGCTTGTTGTATATCGCTATGGCATATTTTCTCTAATGCATGGATACTCTGCAATAGCAGTAAGTTAATACAGGATTGTATGTCCACAATTTAATATGTGCATTTAAGCAGATGGAGATGGAAGGGGCGCAGCCTCGGCCCTCGACCCTCGGGCCTCGCCGCGGCGCCTCAGAGCCACGGACGGGTCGCCGTCGCCTCGCCGGTCGGATGGACGAAGCCGGCAGGCCAGCGTCGGCCCTCGATCGGCCTCCGCTTGGACCTCGCCTCCGCCGTCCGGCCTCCACCAGCGAATCATTGCTTCGACGTCGCCTCCACCAGCGAATCGTTGCTTGGACCTCGCTTGCGCCGTCCGGCTGCCTCCACTCGGACCTCGCCTCCGCCGTCCGGCTGTCTCCGCTTGGACCTCGCCTCCACTTGGACCGTCCGGCCTGCCGGCCTCCGCTGCGAATACAGAGGCTGAGCGACACGGCGGTTATGGGCCGGTCTCGCTGCCTCGCGCTTTCTGCCTCCGCCCTCCGGTCTCTGCCTTCGCCCAGACAAGCCGCGGGCAGTGCAACCAGCGGAGCGACGCGACGGTTCGCAACGGAGGAAAGGAAGGGAGGGTGGGTATGTGGGCGGGTATGTTCGTCGTTCGTCGCGCCTCTACGCTGCGCCTCCGAGCGGTCCGCGGGTACAGCGGCGGGTATCTTCGGCGCGCATAAGAAAAAACGGATCGGAGGGGAGATCGGCAACAGGAAAGCGTGTTTCGTCACATAAGTATCGTCCTTCCCGTCTTTGGGTCCGACTGTCAGGTCTATATCAAATGTTGGATGCAAAATCAAAACACATCCAATGGAGGAGATCTAAGGTGGGTAGGAAGTTTTCGGGTAACATGTATTTTTTAATTTCTTCGCTCCTTTATAGTATAATAATAGTATAGATATAGATTTGTACAACCAGTATCCATAAACTCGTGCTCCTGCACGTACGGGCTCAATAATCATTGTATATGTGATGGTAAGTTTTATTGCGTCCTTGGACTAGTCATTAATTAGGTCTGTGTCTTTATTGGCAAAGACTTTCGTACCGCGCGGCCCTCGGCGCACCACACGGCCACCTCCCCTATCTCCCTCTCTGTGCCTGCGCCTGTCAGGTTGTCTTCCACCTCACGCATCTTCCTCAACTCCGGCGTCAGGTTCCAATTGGCGGCGGCGGGTTCAGCGCCGACGAGGTGTGTCCTTCTCCTCCTCCTCCTCCCGCGTTCAAGCACTCCCGAGTTAGGGTTTCGGCGGGCCCCTCTCTTCTTCCTAACTCCGGCGGGCTTAGAAGAGAAGGGGTTCGGGGGAGGCAGGCCGGCCAGACGGTGGGAGGGCGGCTTTATGGTCCTGGCGGTGGTGGAGGCGGTCGGGCCAGGTAGGGGCGGGGGCGCCCATGGCCATGGCGGCGGCGGGAGGGGGAGGGAAAGAAGGAGGTCGCCGCAGGCGATAAGGTCTTGCCGGAGCTCCGTGGCCCCGCAGAAAATATGAATTGCAAAAATATGAATCTAAAAAAGCCAAAACGAGTATTCCGCTTCTTTCCATAAAAAGGGCCCAGGAGAAGAGATGACTTTTGTCCATTTGCTTTCTTGCTCACTTCCTCGCCTAAACTTCTCACCCTTGTTTGGGATAGAATCCCGACGACACCCTCCGTGGTTTTTTTATTGAAGTCAGCAGAGGAGCTCCGACCTATTTTTTATATACATGGAAAAATATTTCAAATTATAAGGCCCTAGGCTTAAAGGGCTTTACCTAATGAATCAGTAGGGAAAACTCCTTGAACAAAATCTTCCATGGAGCTAAAGATATTG